AAGGTAACGAAACTTGACCTGCCAGCCCCCAAAGTTACTGTTAGTAAATACGTTTTTGATGATATTCAAACTGGGCACTGGGCTCTTTTACATTTGCAACAGGGTTTGGAGAGGTAGAGGGGGGAGGGCTTCAGAGGCTCACGCTTCCCCCCCCCCCTTCACTGCACTAAATAGATTGATAGTTTCCTAATATCTGAGTGTAGACTGATTTGCTTTAATGCGTATTTCATCATGATTTTTTCCAAATTCTAAGGAAGTAAAACCGAAAAACTAAGCCTTTTTCTTAAGTCAGAATGGCATGTTACAATATTTGCAGTGTACATATTTGTTCATGGTGTTATTTAAGAATAACAATTTTATTTCCCCTTTCCATTTTCAGTCAGTCTAACTTGACAAATTACGACTTTTCGGGAGGTAGAAATATAAGATCAAAGGGCTTTTAGATTTAATCTTCAACGCATTCACTCACGTGTCATTCAAACTTATTAAATCTGTGAACAGTTCTGGGGTTAGCTTCTTCAGTTTGTTGTTACGCAACCACCTATAAGAGTGGCAAGAGAATCAATGGATATCCAGACAGATAAACACACTGAAACGAGAAGCGGGGAAAGCGGAGGGAGAGATATGCGGAAAGACAGTATAAAAATAGAAAAAACAATCTAGATAAAGCTTAAGAATGGACTAAAAGAGGATAACGACAGAAAGACTTAAAAAAAAATTGGGTAAAGGTTATAGATGATTTAACGAGCTGGTTTGCAGCCCTTAACATTATTTGGAAGGATTAATGAGAACTATAAAAGTCTGATCATAGAACAGCCTTTGTAAGCTGGCTTGTCATAAATTGTAATTTCCCTATTAGTCTCCTTGCCCTACGGTGAAAAATCGTTAACTTCTGTCGTCAGGATTTGCTCTTACAAGTTTAAATCCCATGCCAGAAAGTTCATTTAATCATAACGTTATTAGGATCTTAAAAGGTCTTACTTACAGCCTTGTTAAATTCCTCATTCCTCGAAACAGGTTATCAGTTAATTCGTTGAGATTGTTGTCGGACAACTCTCTGCATTGTTCATAGAAATAAAACAGAAAACAAAAATAATGGTACCATAAATGTCTTGAACCTGTGTGTAACATTTGATCATGTATTCTGATCGTCCGGGTGAGGGAAGTGGTGAATGACGCTTGCACAACCTCAGCAGAAGTCTTCACTAGAGACAAGTGAAGAGTTGTTGTCAGTCGAGTTGTTTATAGTTCGGTTCGTGCATACTGATTGGTCAGTTTTCCTATGGTGTTATTGTCTGCAATACTCGAGTACCCGTTAGTAGGTCGTAGCCGATCGGCTTTGATCCGTCGGTAAAAGTCGTTCTCTTCGGTTCCATTCGTCTGCAAATGTTGTGAATAAGACGTTTGTATGATATTGGCATCTGTTGAGGGGAGTCTGTTCTAAGGTAGTAAATCTGCTTTCCAGAATCTGTCGTCGAGATTAGTTGGTGCTGGAGGTCAGGCATTACGTAGAGTCCCAGTCGATAGTGTCTTTATAGAGTAAATAATGTTCAGCGATGAGTATTTTGACGTCACCATTTATTGCCTCTCGTTTGTGTCCACTCATGCGGTTGTTTTGGAAGTTTTTCCGATAAAGGATTCTTAGCGGTATGAGCAGTTGACCTTATTAAAGCTCCCTGTCTATTTTTTGGCTCGTCCTTGCCTGTGACGTTGGTCAGTAATTGATGTAATGTAGATATCTGTAGGCGACGCACCTATCACCTTCACTCTTTCTTTCTATTAATTTCTTCTTCATTTCGCACCTCCCGGGGCCGCAAGGCTTTTTGGTCCTACTCAAGTCGTTGCTACAGCCTTTATATGGGGATTTTTCTCTTATGCTTGTAACTAAAAGGCCGTAAGGCCGCAGGGGTCATTAACGCTAACTGCTAACTAACCCAACGTGAAACTAGCTGGAAGTAATCAAGAGGGAAAATAAACACATCAATGTAAATCACAAAAGAATTCAAACTTCTTTGACGGGATGTCTAGAGGAATATTAGTTCCTCGTAAATCCAGTGAACCCAGCTTCAGTCGTTCGATCATTGACTGACGCACTTTCATAAGAGAGGAAATACAGAATACAGAAGAGAGGAAAAATATAGGAAATTTATAGGGAATGATTGTCTGAATCTAGCACCTTTTATTATTTTCACCTCCGGTCTAATATATCGATCGCTGGTGAGTACAGCTTCAGTAACTATGAAGAGTAAGGCCTTTTACTACTTACAGCCACTCTAGGTTTTTATTTTCCTTGAAAATAATCGGTGGTAGTTGACTGAGTTGGTTAACGGACAAGGACCTGTAAAATATCTTTTTTTTAAACAGTTACCCCATACCATAAATGATTAAGTTTTAAGGTGCACAGTTAAGAATTGAAAAAATTAGTTTGGATATATCAGTTCTCTGACCTTTAGAATTCATTTCAGGGAAAAACGTGTTATCATATTCTTGGTAAGCAGAGATCATTTAGATCTTTATGACGTAGAATTCAACGTTTGCATGAGAATATTAGCATTGATGAAAAAGTTTTCAACTGAAAATTGCGAGTTACAGGTATTTACAGTTTTCTAAGGGAGGTAAGGTTACCAAATATCGTAGAAGGAAGGCTTTGTAGTTTTTTGGCGTGTAACCACCTGCAGTTAGTTTAAGGTGAAAATAAGCTTCTACCATCCTCACTTTGAATCCTCATTTTAGCTTTCATGTCTTTGTAATACGATTTCCAAATAACCATTTAAAATATAAGAAAAAAACGCGTAGAAAGTGAATGTTATAGGCAATATTAAAGAAACATCCTGCACGGTAATTTCTTTAAGAGTAATTTGTTTACGAGTCATTGTATCAATGAGAGAAAAAGATGGCGATGGATGAGATAAAACTTGACAAATGCAGATTCGTAAAAGAATTGAAAAAAGTCCTCGATCAGAATTGCCAATTAGTTGGCATGAATAATATTAGGCATGTATAGTGCGCGTGAGAATACTCTCAAATCTACAAAGCTAACTAAATATGTCTTTAAAAAAATATGTAAAATTTTGTGCATATGAATAGAATGCAACAGCTAAATAAATGAATGAACGAAGAAATAATTAAACTAAATGGTAAATTTAGAATTTTTGTTTCAAAATTTTGTGCACTAGAAACTACTTTATATTTGATTTGTTCTTTTTTAGCAGTTTTCTTCATCAATTTGTTTCTCTTGATATTTAAATTTTAAGTCTTGATGAACTTAAGGTTTCATATACATTTATTAGAACTTAGGTAGTATCTAATAACCCCAGCAAATCTTTTTTCTTCTTGCATGTTCTTTGTTGAAATTTATATTTTTGAACATTTGCTTTAATTATCTTTTTTTTTCCCAATCCTGGTCCCCCTGTTAATGAAAGCGCTTGCCTTGTAGCTTATTTAGAAAATTGTTGGTTGGAAAGGTGAGTGACATCAACATTATTAATTAAGATTTAGCACTTCTGAGTTTTATATTTGAAGGAAGGATGTTTAAATCATTCTCCAAAAGTAAGGAATTCTTAGATGTAACTCATCACTTACAGCTTTTTAAGCTTCTTTAAACCTTGGAAAAGTCCTTGGGGTAGATTTTTAATTTCGTTGTTCGACAGATCCCTGAAAGCAGTCGTTTATTTCATGAATCGCAACAGAAACAGATCCTGCTCAGCCCGGGAAATAGTGAAACCAAGTGCTCTTTGTCAAATGGGTAAGACTGATTACTTTCGAGGCCAAGCTAGAAAGCAGACGTTTGCATTACTTTTGGTCATTGCTTTGACCTGGATACTTTTAGGAATTGATAAGTTAAGAGGCAAAAAGAAAACCCATGCTTGTTATGGCTAAGAAGGTAACGAAACTTGACCTGCCAGCCCCCAAAGTTACTGTTAGTAAATACGTTGTTGATGATATTCAAACTGAGCACTGGGCTCTTTTACATTTGCAACAGGGTTTGGAGAGGTAGAGGGGGGAGGGCTTCAGAGGCTCACGCTTCCCCCCCCCCCCTTCACTGCACTAAATAGATTGATAGTTTCCTAACATCCGAGTGTAAATTGATTTGCTTTAATGCGTATTTCATCATGATTTTTTCCAACTTCTAAGGAAATAAAACCGAAAAACTAAGCCTTTTTCTTAAGTCAGAATGACATGTCACAATATTTGCAGTGTACATATTTTTTCATGGTGCTATTTAGGAATAACAATTTTATTTCCCCTTTCCCTTTTCAGTCAGTTTAACTTGACAAATTACGACTTTTCAGGAGGTAGAAATATAAGACAAAGGGCTTTTAGATTTAATCTACAACGCATTCACTCATAGGTCATTCAAACTGGTTAAATCTGTGAACAGTTCTGGGGTTAGCTTCTTCAGTTTGTTATCGCGCAACCACCTGGCGATGGATGCGATAAAACTTGACAAATGCAGATTCGTAAAAGAATTGAAAAAAGTCCTCGATAAGAATTGCCAATTAGTTGGCATGAATAATATTAGGCATGTATAGTGCGCGTGAGAATACTCTCAAATCTGCAAAGCTCACTAAATATGTTTTGCGGTAATTTTGTCTTCTTTTTTTTTGATAACCTTGTTTGTTGGCCATAAGGCCGGTTTTTATCTACTATATCACCCATAGTGGTGCCATTTACGCGATTATTGCTCGGGCATGGATGAAGTGCTTGCGTTCACGTGCCTAACATATAATATCCGCTTTGTTCCTTCTTTGCTGAGATTGACCTCTCCATAATACAGCGCTATTTATTCGTACCCGTGACATAGGCTCTTTAACTATTCTTTTTCATGCCAGTAGACATCATAATGTGCAAACGGTGTCACATACATTTTAATATATTTGAAGGATAAAATTTCGCACATTCAGGAATTGTTTGAAACACCCTTCCCTTCCTTTTGATATCTCTTAAATATGAAATTCATTTACCGAAAATCCAAAAAAGGTTATAGATACCAAAATCAGAGATCCGCTCTAAAAACGGTCTCCAATGACTAAAACCACTCAATATAAAATTGCATATCAAATTTACATATGACGCACATTCACAACCTCGCTCTCAGGGGTCTTCCCTTGAAAATCGGGATCAAATATCCGTAAGTAAAACAATTCCGAATAGTTTTAGGAATATGGGCTATTATGGTAGTTATGAGTCAGAAATCATCGATGTCTATTTTTGAATGCACGACAGACAAGTACTCCTGTAAATCTTTCAATCAGAAATACTTTTTAGGCAAAACTGCTTTTGAAAAAATTAGTTTATCACTTTCGATATACCGAAAAATGGTCGGAAGTATACCCTTGACGCACGATATGTTATTTCATCGGCTGCTCGGAGGTAAAAAATTATTGCTTTTCACCTCTGAACTAGCCAGTCAGTACGTGCATACCATGTTTTACATAGGACGCCTGAAGTCCCGAAGTCCCAAAAAAAGAACTACACCCTTGTTCCCCTTTTTCACACCTTCTGATTTTTGGGGGATTTTGTGTCCGGCTTTGAAGCAATTAGTTTTCCTCAATCGTAACATACTTTTTGAGCTTATAGAAGCTAACGTAGTGATTCAGATTAGCGCCCAGGGCGACGACGACAGTGACGAAGACGTAGTAATTTGTAAACTGATTACTAATTTTTTTTTATGATAACTTTAGGAAAAAGAAACAGCGTAAAAGTTATACTAGAAGTATCTGCCGATCACTGTGGCAGCTTGGTGAACTAAAAAGTATTTTCTACAAATGTTTTCCAGGCCTATTCAAGATAATTGTTGCTCAGACACGGAACAAAATAGCATATAGTTTTTTTCAAATGTTTAACCCAAGCAACTCTTAGGTGGAACAAACCGTCCCAGTCAACTCAGTAATGACATCAATAAATATCAAAATCGAAAGGAGCCCTTACATAGTAAATTGCAAATAAGTCAATTTATTTTCAAATGAAAGCGTGCATGACCGAAATCTTTACCAAGTGATTTTTACTGTTATAAAAAAAACACAAACACTCACAAAGATTCCAAGGACTTCAAGGTCTTGAATATTCCTGCATGAAGGCTGCCAAGTTTGTTGTTGAAGATATACCTGTGATTTGATCGGAACGATTTTCAAAAACGCAAACAACGCTCTATATTTTCTGTTATGAAGCAATGTCAAAAACCCGGCTTTCTTCGTGTGGTCTCATGCACGAAATCCAACTGATCTTAGTCTAAAACTTCAATGCTTTAGTAGCATCATAAATTCAGCTTATAGAAACACATTTGGAGTTTAGAAGTAAGTGGAGTAAAACTTTATTTAGACAGGATAGCCCTTTTTGCTCGAAGGCTGGTATCCATACGGGCCATGTATCGAGGTACACCTATGATCACAATATACTGAAACTTAAATTACGTTAAGAGCCATTGACCGTACGTAAATACTGAGAATTCGCTGACAGTTGAAAAACTTCTTAATTCAGTTTATTTTTCCTAAAGGACCCTTTTCCTGATAAACCATTTTTTTATGAAACTTGAATCTACTGTTCCTTTGATCTGCTGTTCTACCTTGTTCTACCTTGTAGAATAGTTATGAATGTCAGAATGTACGAACGTTTGTTAGCAAGGCTGGCGTCATTGCTTTGGCGTTACTATAAAAAATAAAATTTCATTCAGCTGATTCGAAAGTTTTTAAGTTCATTGCTGCTAACTGAAAACTGAAATGGCTTTCTACGTAATTGCACTACAGCGTCCATTTTTGACCATAGTAAAATAAAACTTTGCCCTTCATAATCAATGTTTCGTCGTAAAAATATTGGGATCGATGTTACTAATGTTTTCAGAAGTTGACGAAGTCGCTGCACGGCTCGGGCAATTTCTATACTCCTTCTGAAAATATCAGTGATATTAATCCTTCGTTTTATTCGGCCCTATGCGTTTACCTTCAAATTTACCTTGCATAATATTTATATTCCCACTGAGTGGGAATGTAAATATTATGCAAGGTAAATTTTTAATTTAATACACTCCGCCTGTATGCCTTCGCCAACAGAGCAAATGTATTTTAGCTGCACGTATGCGAATTGAAACAAAAACTTAATCGTTGCAATTATGGAGAGTTTTTGGTAACTTAGTATTCACAGTATTTACGCCACACGAGGCTGCACACTACCCCCTTTCACAATCTGATCTGAGCTGTATGTTGGATGATTTGGTTTGGTACAGCTATCCCGATCACACAGCCATCGGAATGATGTCATAAGTTTACATCTCTCGTTTATCTCGGTCGAGAAACTCCACTTCGTTCACCGCATTTCAGTCAATGTCAAAAAAGGACCCTGGACGGGTTTCCCGCGAGTACACCACATAGGTAAAACATGACTTGCCACAACCAAAAGTTTATTCCGAAGTCAGTTCAGTGGTGTTGACGTCTCATTCCTCTATAAATAATTTTCTGATGTATTTGGCTGCAGCCACATTCATTTTAGTACTTCATTGCAAAGCAATTCAGCACTAAAGCCACGTAAGCTAAGGTGGTACTCAGGCAAGTCATTATGAAAAATAATTATATATCAACTACGTCTGATAGAGAATTAAGAGAACGTTTGAAGTTCAATCAATCGGGGTAAAATTTAGGCTCGGTTCTGTTCCCGTTTTTAACCAATCTGAAATATCTGCATTGTTAAGAATATAGAGTGTGCTACTCACAAGTCCTATAGCTGAGTCAATTTATCAAGTATATTTGTCAATTTATTGAGTATATTTGCTAACAGGGCAACGTTCACCCATTTTAAAGCACTCTACATTTTACATTACATCTGCTCACCCTGCATCTTCTAATGAACTTGCTATGAGCTACTAAAATTAGAATTGTTTGGGAACTATTAAAATCAGGAATGTTCCGGCCAAGTGTTGGGGAATTGTTTACGTCTGTGAAATGATTTTGAAATCCTTGTGCGAGTCATATGGGCCTTGGTTTGTTCTGTGCTGCGAGACAACAAATTTATTTTTACCTTTTAGTGATGTGTCTTTGAGTGTTGAAATACAGTTTAATTCTCGTGCGATAATCGTCATCGCTGGTCATGTTTGGGTTTATTCTTGACCTGAATTAGGGTCCTCATTGGGAAGTTTTATCTAAGTTTTTTTTTAAAAATTACTTTAAAGTGTCTTAGGTTTGGCTTCATGATTTTTTGTTTACGGGTCCAAAGGTAAATTTTTCCTAAAATTATTATATAGTTGTAGAACATTGAATAACAACACTCAAACAGGATATGGCTTATTGTTTCGCGAAAGAAAAAATAAGTTTTCTCTAGATTTCAGTTCTCGGAGATTAGTTGAGATTGAAGTACTTTGTTGTTCATTTCCAATGTCTTGTGAAATTGTCTGGGTTAGCGTTATAAAAATATGTTCACTCTGCTTAGGTCAGTTGTTGCGTAAGCCCAAACATCCCTACCGTTAGGATATTTAAGAACGTGTACTTGGGGCTGAATAACGCACAGAGACTTAGTCTTTCAGATGAAGAGCCATTTAGAGTCATTAATCAGAGAGGGAATGAAAGTTCTTTATCAAACTCCCGGTACCTCCGTTTGCACGAGTTTCTCAAGCTAGTTAACTCCATCAGTCTAACAAACTAAATAATCTTAAATTCGTCAACAGGTCTCTGATTAGCCTAAGCTTGGCCGAGACGACCAGCCAGGAAGTATTTCTTCACAGGTATTCGACAATTTTTCATTGTGTTAATTGTTACTCGTGAAAATAAGGTTGGGAATCCTTCTGCGATAGAGGGCCAGTCCGCTAACATCTTGACTGGAACGTGACGCTCAACGAATTTGCTTGAAATGGACCATTTCCGCAATTCCCAGTGTTCTCGCGATATTTAAAAAATCTGGTGCCGAAATTACGTCGCGAGAACGAGGTTAAGTGGGAAGTTGCTCTCATCGGTAAAGAAAATAAAGTGTCGTGCTAGTGAAAATAAGCCAAACTTTCTGGAAATTCAATGTGGAAGAGAGAAAAGTAATTTGTGGGATGAAGGATATCAGTTAAGTGATGGTGGCAAAGGAAAGAAAAAAGGCAGAACTGTTCCTTTTATGCACCACAGCAATGAAGCAAATAAAACAAGCCGCTTCTGGAAAAGACCACAAAACGTTGTTAGATGCTTAGACGTACGCCTTCTTTAACATTTCAAAGTTCTTGTCCGTCGTCTGCATGCAGCCTTGCCTCAGTTGTTTTCATGTTATCACTTAATTGTTGCTTTTTTTTTCTTCCTGATTCTTACGTAGCGGGGGCCTACTGTAATTTTCGAAACGAAACATGGCGAAACGAATTGGAAATCTATAATTTGCACAATAAAAAGCTTTATTTTTCGAAATGAAGATCTGTATTTTGCGAAAAGGGAATACTCAGAGTAGCAGCATGACAAATACAGCTCATAAGCAGCGCATTTAAAAATGAGAAAAGATTTCCTAGGTAACGCTTAAAAACTTTCCGCAGATATTTTTGATTTTTCAGTGATTTTAATTCAATTTTTCTCGAATATTTACCTCCTTTGAAAATCATTTTTTACGCGACTAAGTTGTCCGATCATTGGGCGCTATCAATTTCTGTTCTGCAGTTTTGATCGCATAGTTAACGATCTCTTAGTCAGATTTCCGGCCTCAGATGTAAAAATTTATTGGAGATATAAAAAATTGGAGAGGATGAGTTATCACCCAATAGGAAAAAGTACATCGGCTCAGTTAAGTTAGTGTAATTGTAATTACATGACACCTGCGGACTACGAATATTATGTAAGGTTTTCCATACATCTCGCCCGTTTGTATTCTCCGAAGTCGCAAATGTATCTAGGCATTACGTCTGCCAATTGAAACAAAAAAACTGATCGCCGTAGTTATGGAAAGTTTTCGATTACTCAAAATCTATTGCTTTTATTTCACAGGAACTCACAATGTACCCTGATCATAACTTTTGATCTGCAAAGCTGGATCATGGTTCATATAGCATCGTACTGCTATCACGATCACGATTTTTAAGTCAAAGTAGAAATCTGCGTTCATGATTCCTGTAAATACTTAATCTTTTAATACTAGTGAACACGCATGTAACAGGTAAAAGACGCTTACTCTCGTTCATGAATCAATTACTCAGTTGGTATACACTTACAGTCCAGTTAAGTTGGTCAGGTTGTCGAATATTCCCTCCTGCAACGTATGGAGCTCGTTGTGGCTTACACCCCTATAGTTGGGTTAAAAAAAAAACACACATCAGAAGTCCAGATTAAAGCAATCTATACTCTCTTCAACAATAGGTAGATCAGCTTATTCCCAGTTAAGATCGCCTCTAAAAGCTGCATCTCTTCGTTTACTACCCGCTTGTGAGGGTATGACTGACGTTCTTGCTTCTACTCATTACTCCAATACTTATTTCAAGAATTATTCCGTTGTTCATTGTCAGGCTTGAAGGAAATGATACCTGGTCAATTTCCAAATGGAATATAGAGAATACATGGCAATCCATTTCCCCATAGTTGCACAGATAAAAAGAAATCGAGGAACTGGTAATTATGAATGAGTGCAATTTAATTGAATCAATTGACATCAGAATCCTTTTACGATATTGAAGAGCCATTAAAATTTACGTCGCTCTCGACACTTAGCCCTCCGTCCCTCAGTTGGTAGCAAAAACCAAGCACTATCCGGTAGCACGAGTTTGATTCCTGGCGCAGCACGAATTTCCTTGAAAGCTTCTTTTTTGAAATTTCTTTGAGCGAACGGTCAACTTGCAAGGATCACATCGTAAGTTAATTCTTATCCATCGATCAAATCAAATTCCTTTCATTCAATTGTAATCAATTTAATAGACCGCTCGGTTAATTCAGTCCTACATAAGGCTACAAAAACAACCGACGTTTCACTTTTGTTTGTTGACAATGATCAGCAGACTCACTCAAAGGACGAATGATTACCTTGGTAAACAATACTTAATAATTTTTAACAAGGTTACAATTTAAAATACTTAAGTCAAGTCTATGAGAGAGAAACAACAGAAACGCCATACGAAACGAATTTGTCGATCATTGCGGCTGCTTGTTGAACTAAACAGTTAACGTCCTTCAAATTTCACCTTGGAGAGTGTGTTAATAAAATGTTTTCGCGTTGTCTTTCTCTGCCTCTCTCCGCCAGTTTTGTTCTGAACAAATATTTGTTTTGAAGAATTAATCCCGAGGAGTCGTCACTCTTTCATTTTAGCGGAGCCTTTCTTTGCTCCCGCTGGGTGACACGTTGTTTAGAATGGAGTGTAATGTCTGTTGGTTTCTTAAATCGAGAACTCCCTGTTCAAACTTTCACCGCTATATATAGTTGTTTCTGAGAAAGTAGCTTCTGATATTTCAGCCGTTTTGATTAATGGATGGTGTTTATTAACTTTGTCAATAAACTGGTTGATGACATTGTCAATCGCGAAAATTAAGAGCCGCCAAAATGGTAAGGTAAGTTAGGTAAATTCAAGCCAAATCATTATCAAATATAGTTATATATCAACAATTTCTGACAAAATCTTGAGAAAATCTTTCACAGATATTTAATACTGCAATCAAGGATAATTTGGGACTGGCCCCGTTCCTGATTTCAAGCAGCTAGAGAGTGCTACTCACAAGTAATGCAGCTGAGTCAATTCATCAAAAATTTTGGTGGTAGTTCATTTAACTGATTACCATTTAACTGCCGGTAATAAAGGATCTCGATGGCAGGTTAGTAATAACCATGACAATAATTATTGCAATTTTATGTAATTGAGCATATCAACGTTTACTTCCTATTTGTTTATTTTGTCTTCCTTACTGCTTTCCATTGAGCATATTTGTTAACAGGGAAACGTTTCACATAATTGAAAGGCACTCAACATGCTACTCACAAGTTCTGTAGCTGAGTCAATTCATCAAAAACTTTTGGTGGTAGTTCTTTTAGCTGATTACCATGTAACCACCTGTAATAAAGGATGTGGATGGTAGGTTAGCAACAACTATGACAATAACCATGACAATAATTATGGCAATTTATTTGTTTATTTTATTTTCCTTACTACTTTCGATTGAGCATATTTGTTAACAGGGAAACGTTTCACATAATTGAAAGGCACTCAACATGCTACTCACAAGTTCTGTAGCTGAGTCAATTCATCAAAAACTTTTGGTAGTAGTTCTTTTAGCTGATTACCATATAACCCCCTGTGATAAAGGATGTGGATGGTAGGTTAGCAACAACTATGACAATAACCATGACAAGAATTATGGCAATTTATTTGTTTATTTTGTTTTCCCTACTACTTTCGATTGAGCATATTTGCTAACAGGGAAACGTTTCACATAATTCAAAAGTACTCAATATACTACTCACAAGTACTGCAGCTGAGTCAATTCATCAAAAACTTTCGGTGGTAGTTCTTTTAGCTGATTACCATATAACCCCCTGTAATAAAGGATGTGGATGGTAGGTTAGCAACAACTATGACAATAACCATGACAATAATTATGGCAATTTATTTGTTTATTTTGTTTTCCCTACTACTTTCGATTGAGCATATTTGCTAACAAGGAAACGTTTCACATAATTGAAAGGCACTCAACACGCTACTAACAAGCTCTGCAGCTGAGTCAATTCATCAAAAACTTTTGGTGGTGGTTCTTTTAACTGATTACCATATAACCGCCTGTAATAAAGGATGTCGGTGGCGGGTTAGTAATAACAATGATAATAATTATGGCAATTTATTTGTTTATGTTGTTTTCCTTACTGGTTTCCATTGAGCTTATTTGCTAACAGGGAAACGTTTCACATAATTCAAAGGAACTCAACATGTTTTTTGCTTTACTTTATTCTGCTCACCCAGTATTTTCTCATGAACTAAATAATAAACTAATAAAATCAGTAAATAACTACAGAGAAAGCCCTTTGATATTGTGCTTACACAGAGTCGGTCACTCTATTTTTGAATAAAAGTCGCTGTGACTAAAGTTTTAACGATCGATTTCTATAATTTACAAAAAAAAAAGGAACAAAAATATTCCCGGATGAAGGTTGCTTAGTTTGT